AGAAAATCCCCCAATTCAGGTGTGCAAAGCTTGTCGCGTCATACCCAAAAAGACTCGAGACTGTAATTGCTGCCAAAGGTGCTTCAACAAAGTACACAGTAAAGGGTCTGAATACTTAAGCACATGTGATATTTCAGGCTTTTTCAGTTTGATAAATTTGCAGATGTTTCTAAAATTCTGTTTTCACTTTGTCACTATGGGGTACTGAGTGTAGATTAATGAGAAAAAATTTATTTAAAAAACTGTAGCATCAGGCTGCAACATAACAAAATTGAAACAAGTGAAGAGGGTCTGAATACTTTATAAATGCATTGTATTTATACATTTAAAAAGGATAGGGGCGGGGAGGGTTACGCTGAACCTAAGAAACAAAATATTTAAAAATGCTACTTTCCCTTTAAATGCCAAGAGCTACAAGAAGGGTTGTAAGAGGACCAAACCAAAAAAAACAGCTGTCATGTTTAGATTCCTGCCTCCTGAATAGACAAGGGAAAGCCGTGAAAGGGAAAACCAGGTTTTTCCTTGGTTGAAAAAGTGCATATTATTTTATGGGGGGGGTGAAGTGTGGAAAAAAACATTAACGCTAGCAGCACTTTAGATTGTACTGAAGTCTTTATCACTCATACAAAATATCAGTTGTTCTATCTTTCACTTTCAGATTAACTCAGTGTAGTTTACCTTGTGAGTCTAGACAACCCTTTATAGCGTTAGTAATACTTATACACCACTGGTGTGATCCTAATATAAAAGCGCCATTCATTGCAGTTACAATCTTTTTTCCCAGGTACTTTGTTTTCACATTGAAGAATGATAGCAATGACAGAAATTTGTATGTGTCTCTCCTGAATATGTGTGAGTTTCAAACTCCCTGTTCTCTCCAAAATCAGTGCAGCTAGTTAAAACAAGTTGTCATCTAGAGACAGCCATGTTCACAAACTACCAGATAATACACTATCAGGGGTGGACTGACCATTTGGAAACTTGGGCACTGCCCGAGGCCCCAGGGTCAGTAGGGGGCCCCATGAGATGCCCCTGGTACCTTTTTCATAGGCTTTTTTGAGTTTGGGCAAGGACACAGGGGCCCCATGATCCCCTATTGCCCAGGGGCCCCATGAGTTGTCGGTCCGCCCCTGTACATTATCCATGATTTTAATTGGCACCAAGGAAAGAGCACCATACTACCACTGACCACTAGCAATTACATTACAGGTTAACTTAAAGAGGGCCTTTAGCCTACCCCCTCTCTTTTTTTTTTTTAAACCCCTGCTTACTGGGTCAAGAGACACTTCTCGGCCCTGTGACGTTATCTTACTTGTGACATCATCAAGAGGCCCACCAGCTCTTCCAAGTGCAGTCAGCAGGGCCTTGCAATGACATGCCACTAGGCCCACCCCTCCTACTTACTGAATGAAAGACTAAAAGCCTCCTGGGATATGTGAGGCGCATATCCCAGGAGGCCCAGCAAGCACTGCAAGTCATTCTCCTAGGTGAATGATGTGCACGGAATGGTGGTTGACATGGTCCATGCTTTTGAAAAAAAGGTAAATAAAAAAAAGGGGGTGAGGGGTGAGATCTGCTTTAAGGAAAGCAGCCTAAATAACTGAAAATGTGAAAACAAAAGTGGTTGCATGCATGTGTGCTTGCAATAATAGAAACTGGTTACTAAGGAATTAATGCACTTAAAACTGCTGACAGGTAAATGTGCATTTCTGTGGGGACTGTCACCAAGAGGTTAAGGCACATATACTGCATACTGGACACCAGGGCCGTGGATAAGGGGGTACCACCTGGCCCCCTGTATGGGACCAAAGCCAGCAGGGGGGCCCAGGCAGCTGGGTGAATTGGATGTGGGCAGGAGGGTGATCCGCACGATGGGTGAGCAATTACTGAAACCGATCCCCTGTATGGCTCTTCTGCAGCAGCTGAAAGCCAGCTTCTTCACCTCTCCCTTCTGCTGGATTTCAGCTGCTGCAGAGAGCCATACAGGAGATCGCTTCCAGTAATTGCCTCCCGCTTCACCCGATCACCCTCCTTGTGCACTATACATTTCCCCTTGCTGCCCAGGCCCCCCTGTGTGCCCCCCCACCCTCACAATGTTGCTGGTTTCCCTCCTCTCCATCCCACTGGCAGCTGCAAGTACTTAATAGGATCCTTCAGGATGCAGAGTGGGGAAGGGTCTGGTAAATATGTAACACTTACCAGCCCCTTCCTTTCCTGAATGAAAACAACGAGTGATCGATACTGATCACTCACTGTGTTCATTCATAAGTGTGTGGGGCTTTGGGGGGGGCTGTCAGGTAGGCTGTATGGGGCCCCATGGTTTCTAACAGCAGCCCTGCTGGTCACTAAAGGTTATTCCATATACACTCCTGACTGGTCACAGAGGGGTTAAAGCACATATACTAGACAACAGTCACTGGAGGGTTAACACCCATACACTGGATTTAGTTAACAAATGGGACTTTTTTGGTGCCCTGTACTTATATAAATGACAAAGGAAAACATTTTTATTTAAAATATTAGCCTCTGCACAATAGGTTACATTGCCTTTGCAATTAAAGTAGGCATCCAGTGAAAACCTAACTAGGCTTAAACCCTCTCCCACCCCCATTCTATGTCCTAAACTAACCACACGGTAAAGGAAAGATGCTTATACTTACCTAATCTACGGGTGCTCCGGTCTGGTCACATGATACGCTCCCAGCACCAGCTTCAGGGTTGAGGAGGGACAGCCAACAACAGATGCCCCAAAGTAAGCATCTGGAAGACATCACTGCCTAGGTATTTCAGCAATTGTTGCTGCTATCTCCTCTCCCCTGAAGCCAGCTACTGAGGGAATCACATGATCAGACCAGAGCGCCCTTATATTAGGTAAGTATTTACAGATTAGATAGTATAGGGCTAAGAATGGGAGTAGGGAGCAGGTTTAGGCTTAGTTAGATTTTGGCTGGACTTCTACATTAAGTGTAACATTATTTCCATTTAATTGTTGTTGATTCCTGCAGTGGATGGAGGAGGATTGTCAGCACATTTCCCAGGTCTGCTTCATCAGGAAATACGAGGGGCATGCAAGCCAAACTGGGAATTTTAACTTTACATGTATAAAAAAAGGGATGCTAGCGTGGCGGTACTACATGCAGTAGTAAGTGCCAAGTGTTTCCTCTTACTGATAGGCGGCACACATGTCACGGGCCAGCCCAGAGACCATTAATCAAGATGGCAGACCACAGTGCTAGTGTGTGCATGGAACAACATGTGGTGATGAAGTTTCTTGAACAAAGGTGTAAAACTTGTGAATATCCTTACAGGACTTCAAGCACAGTGTGGTGATGAGACGCTCAGCCACAGTAAGATATTTCAACAGTGTACAGGTTTCAAAGATGGCCGTATGCCCATCAATGATGATCCTGGCCGTGATGGTTCCCAGCCCACAGAAGTCATCCTGTGAACATTTAGCATGTGGAACGCCTGATTCTGGATAATTAAAGCATAACCTGTTATGAAATTGCACAAGAGATAAATCTTTCTGTGGGAACGGTGAACACAACAATGACGAAGTGAAGCAGGCTGACCTAGGATGGTTCAGATGTACCGATAAATATTTCTATGCCGAAGCTTTCCAGGCATTGGTAAGTGTATAAATGTAGCAGGTGATTATGTCAAAAAGTAAATGCAGTTTCCACTCAAAAGTCCCAGTTTGACTTGAACTAGAAGTGTGCATTTATTAGAAAGTTTAGTCAGTCAAGCCATGGACTAGAGGCTAATCATCATAGAGGAAACTGCAGCAGACATACAGAGGGTTCAGAAATGACAAGGTTATAAGTATCTATCACAGATCTTCTTTGCACATAATAATATCTTCTAAGGTCATCTAGTTTTGACCAGTTGTAATTCCTCAATTATAAACAGTAAGTGACCAGAACACAATTATATGCAAGCTGCCAATATCAATATGGAGTTAGATGTGTAAGTAGCAATATCAAGATATATGGACAACAATGTCCTGATGTCACCCCATTGGACACTATAATAATAATCAATGTAATAATAAGTGCCCACGCACTGCAAAATAACCCCCCGTCAAAATAGGTGACATCCTTCCCTTCAATATTATAACCCCTGGACTGTATACCAGTCAATGAGTAGAAAGTACACAGAGCCAAGTCACTGAGGCGTCAAAGTGACTGTCACTAGAATAAAACTTGAAAAAAAGGTGGTGTTGTAAAGAAAGGTTTATTACTTACCTATCCAGCTACCCATGCCAACATGCTCTTTTGATAAGCTACAACACCCAAGAAAATATTCAACATCTGACCTTTCTGAGCTGGATAGACTGACAAGAGGAAGCCCTGTGCACATAGCATATAAATGCTAAATATATTTTGGGCCCCACAGCTTTTCAAGAGAGCAAAGATTGGTGAGAAGTGAGTATTAATTATTTTATCTAAGTTTTTATTTTAGGCCCACATTCTGTACACTGGTTACTAAGGGCTTATTACAAACACTGCGGAGACTGGTCATTGAGCCATAAAGGCCGATACATAGGAGAATGGTCACTGAAGGGATTAATGCACATACATGGCAAGAGAGCTCTGTACTAGAGGGGCCATCTCATATGCAGAATTGGTACTGGTAAGCAAGGTATGGTTTCTGGGGGGGCAGGATACTGGGGAGAGACCAATATATGTAGTGGAGGTGGGTATATTAAAAGTCTCCTTCTAATACTATATATGTTAGGACAGGCTATGTGATGGCAAGACCAAAATGAAAATACATCTGCGGCCCACAAACCTACTAGACCCCATTATACAATGTACACAGTTCCAAGTAAATGTTTCCTAATTATGTCATTAACAGCTGCATCAATCATGAGGCTATTTTTTCTGTGACACTAGTAGCCAAGTTCAGTAACTTGAGAAAAACGTATGTTTCATACCATGGAAGTTGTATATAGCAAATGATTTGGGCACACATGCATATTTCAGAGTACTTTCCCTTACCAGTGACTGCAGGATGGCGTGATTGGTGGCATTCATACAAGAGTCAAGTGGAAATGAGCATTCTCCTTCACAATAAAATGCTGAGTACCCCTGTGGAGCAATCACCCAGTCCTAGAAAAGCATAGAATTGATATGATTACTCAATGCTGTTAGGAACTGTTTGCTTAGTTGGCAGTAGAGAAAAAATCAAGGTGAATGGCTTGTAGAGATTAACAAGAAATGACTGGTTCTCATAGAAGTAGTTGAAGGACCCCTATTCCCTCTCTTCACACTGGTTTAAAATCACCACCGCACCTTCCTACTCAGCCAACCTAAGCCAACATCTAAAATTGTATCATACTAATTACATATCTCCCGCTCCAACACATTGGAATTATCTATATACAGTGCTTCCGTTCTGTCCGAAATAGCTGCCTAATCTCAGTACTGCCAAAGTAAAACACTACAAACCCTAGACACACAAGGCTTTTCAACCTTCTTTTTAGCTCTGAGCTATTTATACTAACACCACCTGCCTGGCTATAGGTGCCATTCATAAGACAGTTATTATTTACACCAATAATTTGGATGGATATTTTTGTTTTTGTTAGATGCTGGAGAACTAGCATCATTACAATTTCTTATGTTGGAGATTTTAGGACATTTCTGTGCTTTAGTTCCTTGGCTTGGGTAGCATACCCTTTACGAATGGGTCCTACACTAATTAATGGATATTTGTTTTCGTTCTATGAACCCAACAGCATTTTACAAAAAATAAAGTATCTGACTCTTCCTAGACCTTGATTTGAGCTGTATGGGAAACACAACTAGTCATAAACCTAACAAATGCATTGGTGAAATAGGGGAAGCCTTAGGGAGAGGACTTTGACTATACCAACTGAAGAAGGTCAACGATTTCTGGGAAGTTCACTAAATACCACAAGAGGTCAAGGTAGGTAAAGGTAGCGGTTCTAAACTGTGTAGGGGTTAAGAAGGGGAAGTATCTACAAAATAAGATATATAAAAAAAGAAGGGGAGGGGGGAATGAGGGAGGAAGCAAAGTTAAATAATTTCTAGATATGATTGAGGACAAGGGTGCAGAAACAAAACACATAAGGAAAGAGGGGGGAAGGAACCTGTTATTCCCCTCATCCCCATGCCCCACCAGTCTGATGGATTTTAATTAATATTATAACATGTAAAATGCTGCTGGAGAAATAGCCAGCGGTAATCTCAGCCCACCAGATTTCACCCATAACTGAAAAAAACACTCCTTGGTGGATGGATCCTATATGCTATGGTTCACATAGATGCGATATGATTTTCCTGTTGGTTTCTGTGTGATTTCAAGGGGTAATTGTTCAGCGATTCAGGGATTCTGATGTAATTTGGCAGCGTTCTCAGTCAGTCAACGAGACAACGACCCTAAACATACAGTCAGAACAATAATGGAATGGTTTAGATCAAAGCATATTCATATGTTAGAATGACCCAGTGAAAGTTCAGACCTAAATCCAATTGAGAATCTGTGGCAAGACTTGAAAATTGCTGCTCACAGACACTCTCCACCCAATCTGACAGAGCTTGAGCTATTTGTAAAGAAGAATGTGCAAAAATGTCACTCTGTAGATGTGCAAAGCTGGTAGAAACATCCCCAAAAAGACTTGCAGCTCTATTTGCAGCAAAAGGTGGTTCTACAAAGTATTGACTCAGGGGGGCTGACTACAAATGCAGGCCACACTTTTCACATATATATTTGTAAACAATTTTGAAAACCAATTCTCATTTTCCTTCCACTTCACAATTATGTACCACTTTGAGTTGGTCTGTCACATAAAATCCCAATAAAATACTTTTACGTTTTTGGTTGTAACATGACAAAATGTGGAAAATTTGAAGGGTATGAATACTTTTTCAAGGCACTGTAGGGCGTGACTGGAAGCCCCATAACAAGTAATTTGACTGGTTTACACTTACAGAAGTCAACACAGCATGATAAATTATCAGCCTCTGATATTTGGAGACAGTTGTAAAAATCACTGATTTTTACAACCTGTCTTTAAATTTACTGATGGTTGGCAACTCTGGTCTCCACATACATGTACAAGTGCTTTTTGACTCTCCTTCATACTAAGAATCACATGTTATCTAGTAAGCCTTTAAAGTGGACATCTGTGTGAGGCACAAGGTGGTTTCCTTCCATGATCTTCTGATATAGTCACAGAAATCTGTTTGGAAGTGGAGGATCCTTCATGGTGTTGGACTGTTGGAACTAATTTTAATTCTGAGTTTTTCTAATGCACTGGACAGTTCTTTATATCTGTATATGTTTTTTGCACAGTGGTCTTACACAGTGGTTTTCAAGCACTATCTATTGTAACATTTTATTTTTCATGTTTTTGAATATTGTATTGAACACGTTTTGATATGAAATATGTTATTGTATAAGCACAGAACTTTCTATTTATATGAATAAATAAAAGCTGATCATTTTAGGCACCCCTGTCAGTGTTAAATGGTTTGTCTTTTCCCTGTAACTGCAAGAGAGCTTGTTCTTTTGAAAAACAACAGACTTACTGGATGGATCATCAGATGAAAATAGAAGAAAGAAAGCCTAGAAAATTAAACTAATGCAGCCATCACATATAAGATAATGTTTGTTTTGGGGTTTAATGCTGATTTAATTGGTACAATTCATGATGTGTGTTTACCTGTGTTTAGGTGCATTTAATTAAGCTGCATTTAGAAAAAATTAATGAAGTCCTTCTAGGGGCAAATTAGATACTCTGAATGTGTCTAAATGCATGTACACACAAATAAACACATATAAACGCAAGTACATTTGAATGCAGGGGAAATTGATCTGGGTAGCATAAAGTTTTTTATACATTACAGATACCTTCTGCATTTACAGTGCTGTGGAAAAATATTTGCCCCATCCTGATATTGTTTGCATATTTGTAACACTTAAATGATTGAAATCATCAAACAAATTTTAATATTACACAAAGATAGCCAGAGTAAATACAAAATGCAGTTTTTAAATGATGATTTCATTTATTAAGGAAAAAAAGCTGTCCAAACCTGACTGGCTCTATGTGAAAAGTAATTGCCATCCCCCTTGATAAATCAAGAATGAACCGTAATTAACCACATTTTTTGGAAAGCTGAGTTAAATTTCACATGCCATCCCAGGCCTGATTAATACCAGACCTGTCGAGTTAAGAAATCACTTAAATAGAGGCTGTCTGACAAAGTGAAACACGCTAAATGATCTAAAAAAACAACACATCATTCCGAGATCTAAAGAACTTCAAGAACAGATGACAAACTAATTGATGTGTATCAGTCTGGAAATGGTTACAAAGCCATTTCTAAGGTTTTGGGACTTCATCTAACCACAGTGAGAGCCATTATCCACAAATGAAGAAAACTTGGAACAGTGGTGAACCTTCCTAGGAGTGGCCGACCTACCAAAATTACTCCAAGAGTACAATGACGACTCATCCAGGAGGTCATAAAAGAAATCAGAACAACATCTAAAGAACTGCAGGCCTCACTTGCCTCAGTTAAGGTCAGTACAAAATACAGGACAGTGCAACATCCAAGAATAGGGACTTTAAAGGTACTGTGCTAAGAAACAAAGGCAAAGATTAACTATAAAATTATATTTATTTATTAAAGTCCATTAAAACGGTGGATCATCAATTCCAGCACTTAATTAATAGATGCTTAATAACACATGACCACAACTCACATAATATAAAGATTTGACAATTCTATATCCCGCTGTAAACGTTGATGCGTTTCACAGTGCACATCTGCTTTGTCAAAGGCTTTGCGGGGGTTGTCTACAAAAACATATACATAACTTCATAGTAACAGATATATATAGATATATATGTATATATATATATATATATAGATAGATAGATATAGATAGATAGATATAGATATAGATATAGATATAGATATAGATATAGAGATAGATATAGAGATAGATATAGAGATAGATAGATAGAGATAGATATAGAGATAGATATAGAGATAGATATAGAGATAGATATAGATATAGATAGATAGATAGATAGATAGATAGAGATATATATATATAGATATATATATAGATATATATATATATATGTCTACATGAAGATATTACAGCCATCTATACACATTACATGGATATTTTCTAAAAAAAAAACCTTACCACAATATTCACTTAGATGATAAAATTGCTATTTAGTTCAATCACGATAATGTACTCTAATGTCTACTGCCAGAGATAGATGCTACATCACATGCCCATATGTCCACCCCCACCCCAAAGGGGAGGAGGGAGGAAACAGGAGGAAAACTACAATTTCATCTTTATATTAAAATAGCTTAAGAGACCTCTGCTGCTTCTTTGGAAATGACCGACTGTGTTATGAGCCATGAGGCATTGGATTCAACTTTTATAGTGTTACCATATGGCCGCTTTTACCAATCTTTGTATTGACCTATTATTGACTGAAAATTTGGTGGCAGACTCTGGGGAGCAAGTGAAGGTGAGGGACAAAACCTTTTTCTCACCCCCCTTTTTTCTTCTTTTTGTGTGGGGTTTTTCTTCTTAATTTTTGGGGGAGGGTTAACAATATTATACATCCCATACAGTAGATATATAAAGGCTAATTTTGTTTAAGAGCTTATTCCGTATGCTTTTTGGAAAATTATTCCTAATTATAATAATTTGCCCCCCCTTACTAGAAACTATTGAAGTATATGCCATTATATATAGATACTGGTTAATATAAGGCCCTTTTTGAGGTCTCTTAAACTATTTTAATATAAACATGATATAGTCGTTTCTCCTGTTTCCTCCCTCCTCCCATTTGGGGTGGGGGTGGACATATGGGTGTGTAATGTGGTATCTATCTCTGGCAGTAGACATCAGAGTACATTATTGTGATTGAACCAAATAGCAATTTTATCATCTAAGTGAATATTGTGGTAAGATTTTTTACAAAATATCTTTGTAATGTGTATAGATGGCTGTAATATCTTCATGTAGACATATATATATATCTGTTACTGTGAAGATATGTATATGTTTTTGTAGACGACCCCCCAAAGCCTTTGAAGAAGCAGATGTGGACTGCGAAACGCATTGGCGTTTACAGCGGGATAGGGAATCGTCAAATCTTCATATTATGCAAATTGTGGTCATGTGTTATTAATCATCTATTAATTAAGTGCTGGAATTGATGGTCCACCGTTTTAATGGACTTGAATAAATAAATATAATTTTATAGTCAATCTTTGCCTTTGTTTCTTAGCACAGTGCCTTTAAAGTCCCTATCCTTGGAGGTTGCGCCGTCCTGTATTTTGTATTGTAGTTTGGGATGTGGCCCTATGCGTTTATCCCGAGTGATAGGCTATGTTTTTCAGTTAAGGTTAGTGTTCATGATTCAACAATAAAACAATAAAAATGCTAGGCAAAACAGGCATCCATGGGAGAGTTCCAAGGCGAAAGCCACTGCTGAGCGAAAAGAACACAAAGGCTCATCTCACACTTCCCAAAAAACATCTTGATTATCCCCAAGGCTTTTGTGCAAATACTCTGTGGACTGATGAGATAAAAGTTAAACATTTTGGAAGGTGCGTGGCCCATTACATCTAGTGTAAAACTAACAGAGCATTTCATAAAAAGAACATCATATCAACAATCAAACATGGTGGTGGCAGTGTGATAGTCTGGGGTTGTTTTACAGCTTCAGGACCTGGATGACGTGCCATAATTGATGGAACCATGAATTCTACACTCTACCAGAAAATCCTGTATGAAAATGTCCAGCCATCAGTTTTTGACCTCAAGCTCAAGCACACTTAGGTTGTGCAGTAGTACAATGATCCAAAACACACCTCTGAATGGCTCAAAAAAAAAAACAAAATTAAGGTTTTGGAGTAGTCAAAGTCCAGACATAAACCAATTGAGATGCAGTGGCACCATCTTAAACAGGGCATTCATGCTCAAAGAGCCTCCAATATAGCTGAGTTAAAATAATTATGCAAAGAAGAGTGTGCAAACATTCTTCCACAGCGATGTGAAAGACTCACTGCCAGGTATCGCAAATGCTTGACTGCAGTTGTTGCCGCCAAGGGTGCCACAGCCAGTTATTAGGTTTAGGGGGAAATTACTTTTTCACATAGGGTCAGGCAAGTTTGGGCAGCTTTTACTAAATTAAATCATTGTTTAAAAACTGCAATTTGTATTCACTCGGTTTATCTTTGTGTAATTTTTAAACTTGTTTGATAATCTGAATCATTTAAGTGTGACAAATATGCAAAAAAAAATCAGGATGGGGGAAAAGACTTTTTTTACAGCACTGTAAATGAACCAAAAGCAGGAGGGTAGTGTGAATGTAGCCTAATAATTTATGTGACTGGAGAATGATTGAACAAAAGAATAAAAAGGAACATTTTCTGTTTTACTATTAATGTTAGCCCTCACTTGAAGCAACTCTGTCCAAGGACAGTCCTATTGTACAAAAAAATATGTCCATCATCTCAGTATTGCTTGCATAGGCTTGGTGGCCAACTTTCCCATTTATAAGGCCACAAAATTAAAGATCTGACTTGACTCAAACAAGAATTTTCTTGCCAACATTTTATTGCAGCTAGTGACGCTTACCCTTCTACATGGGAAACGCAATGAACACCCACAGGTTACTGAAATCTTATAAATTGTTAGAACATGTATGAGTGTAATAATGAGTATGACTTAAGCATGCAAGGGCTCTTATATTACCAATTTAAAATAGGTGATGGTGGTATTAGCCAATGTATAGACACCTTCAGGCAAGCCAAACACTATGTAATCTGTCCACCCAATGTGCCTTGTGCACAGGTTGTGAGGGAGCAAATCTGTAAGTTCTATTCATTCACCACATCTACCAAATTTCCCACAAAGGCCACCAAGTAATAAGGGTTGATCATATATGTACATGTGGGCAAGTTTCCAACCTAGCAGTTCCATACCCAAGTTGGCGTTGATTGAGCAGAGCAGTAATTTAGGACTTGTGCAAGGCACAATTATCTGACCTGATGATATATCGAAAAGAGGGAGAGGAAGTCAAGAGGAACATGGTTTCTCTATGATATCCTGGGTCACTGGGAAAGCTATCTTAAATGGTGCCACCCCATGTGATTTTGGGACAGACAGAATCTATTGAATACTCTGGCCCTTTGGCATGATGTGCATTCCGCGTGCGGGTAGTGTAGGGACAGGTCACCTGTCTGTCACGGACAGGGACTAGCAGTAGGGAGAGGTTCCAGATGAGTAAGGGTAGAGACATGCCATCCTTCTTGGAAGCCTCTGCATTTGGGTACAGACTGGTCTGGCCACATGCTGTCCCTCAAGACAGACCCTGTCAGCACATCTGAGGCCTGCTCTGATACATATCACTGTTACATCCTGTGAGTGTTCCCGGTTCGGTGCCTTCCCACCAGGTTTGTTGTGAAGTGTGAACTTTAACTTTAATAAATGTTCTGTTTCCTGCAACTGGACTCTGAGGGGTTGATTTACCAAAGGCAAATAGACTGTGCACTTTGCAAAGTGCAGTTGCACTCTGCAAGAACAGTTGCTCCAGAGATTAGTAAATGAGTAGAAGCTCTGAGTGCCATCATCCAATCATTTGCAAGCACAAATGCTGTTTTTTAATTTTCCTTGCACCTGATTGGGTATTCTTTGCAAAGAAGAGCTTTACCTAATTTACTAAGCTCTGGAGCAATCGCACATTCAGAGTGAAACTGCACTTTGCAAAGTGCACAGTCTATTTGCCTTTTGTAAATCAACCCCTGAGTATTTACTGCAGCTGCACCACAGTGCACCTCCTCCACAAGTCTTATTCAGAGGCTGCTATAACAATTTGCTTTCTAAGTTCTTGATAGTATATGCAGATTTGATGGTTAGCACCACTTAATTGTGGATGGAGTAGATGGTACGTAACCTTTTTTTTTTAAGTTTTAATCTGTCCACATGATAAAATCTATTCGGCCTTTGTAAGATCTAGCTTCAGGGGGCCCATACACTGCACCTTTTGCTATAGATGCAAAGAAGAACTTTTGATTACTGGATATGCTTATATTGGAAAAAGCAATGTTTACAGTAGGTGTTGTTCTAGTTATGTTTTATTGTTCCAATCTTTTAGAATGTCCTGCAACTGGATTTAAAAAGTATCTATTCAATCCTTTCATTATGTATATGCAAAAGTAATGTAATATGAGTTCATGTCACAGTGAAAGGGTAGAGATGGAGGAGGAGGAAGGGGGGAAAGTATCTAAGGGTCTAAAACAGGAGTTAAAGACATATTAGAGTATACCTTCTATTTAAATGTTTAGAGTAGGCCAGAGAAGTTTTCATAAGAGGGCAACTTACCAGCCAGCCTAAATCCCGAAAACTGACATAAAGCTCATGTCGTTTACATACTTGTCTGCCATCAGGAACATGTACATGGTCTGAAATGACATATTGTACAACATAAGGTAACCTGTTTTAAATTACATTCAAAAAACAAAAGCGACTGTGCCACCAAAAAAAATAGTGAATGGACTTACAGAAGATTACTACCGTATTTTTTTTGCCGTATAAGACACACTTTTTTTTCCCCAAAACTGGGGGGGAAAAGTTGGTGCGTCTTATACGACAAATAGAGAGAGAATCCGTGAGGCGCGGCCACGGCCGTAGAAAAGGCCGCGGCTTTGGCCTATCTCTGGAGCGGTCGGCCCATCTTAGTACACCCGGCGGTGCGCGCTGACGTCATCACCCCCTCTGCTCGTGGATCCTGCCATAGCGCAGATCTACAACAACAGGTGAGGAGCGGGGCAATGCAATGTTACTGGCTATTACTACTATGTTGGGGAAATGTTACTGGCTATTATTACTAATGTTACTACTATGTGGGGGCAATGTTACTGGCTATTATTACTAATGTGGGGGCAATGTTTACTGGCTATTATTACTAATGTGGGGGCAATGTTACTGGCTATTATTACTAATGTGGGGGCAATGTTACTGGCTATTATTACTAATGTGGGGGCAATGTTACTGTGGGGGCAATGTTACTGGCTATTATTACTAATGTGGGGGCAATGTTACTGGCTAATATTACTAATGTGGGGGCAATGTTGCACTGGAACAGTGATGGTGATGACGAGTGGGGGGCAATGGTGGACTTTACAGTGATGAGTGGGGGCAATGGTGGACATTACGTGATGAGTGGGGGCAATGGTGAACATTACGTGATGAGTGGGGGCAATGGTGGATGATGTATTAAACAAAAAGACAAAACGTATGTTTGTCTTGTTGTTTTTTTTTACTGATCCGAAAAAGATCCGATCCGTGACTCCTGATCCGTGGAACAATCCGAACCGTGAGTTCTTTCATTTCTGGATTTGTTACATGGTTGGCATAAAATTGTTCTTAAACTGCTGATAACATTATACAGTTGATATAAAATATTTTACTACAGTATTGGGTTCAGAATCTTTTTTTTTTCCAGATTTTCCTCCTTTCAAATTGGGTGCGTCTTATATTCCGGAGCGTCTTATATGGCGAAAAATACGGTAATTAAAGGAATAAAGGAAATTTTTAAATCTGATTAAAGGGCAAGTCAACACAAAACTGAACATAGCAATCCAAACACCCAAAGTTGGACATTCACAGTGCTATGCCTCGACAGAGATCTCATCACTGGAGTCAGTGGGTGAAGCCATATATCCCAACTGTACTTGTAACTGAAATTTAAACTTTGGGTGCACTGGCCTTTAGACCTATGGTGTAGAAGTACGGAGGTTGCCTTTGCTTGGTTTTGCTTTTATTTATCCTGGTCCCTTGGCTGTCATGTTGATTCAAAGGGAGGTCACCAATGACAACCTCTGTATATCCCTCAGTACTGGTAGGTTGGCCATACATTATACAATCTTGTTGTACAATATCTGTACAATCCCCTTTAGATTTACCAAAACGATGTAATAGGATGAAAAACCTAAACAACTCATCCAATTTTCATCAAATCAGGCAGGACCATGTATTACAATAAGAATGTATGCTCACCTTTACAATGCACCTATGTCCCCCTCCAAGTTAACCTGCTGTTACATCCAGATCAATGACTGACAAGCAACTGTTGCTTCAATCTAAACATACTACACCTGGGATTTTTACCATACCTGGCAGTTTAGCTCAACTGCCACATTTACCTATGGAGCCACTGCCAGAAGGACTCGCAAAAACTAGGGCTTTGTTAGACATAGAAAGCAGGCACTAAGCCTACAGCTTGTTCAGATGTGGGTTCTATATCTAATAAGAACCTAGTTTTGGGCAGCACTGCAAGCTGTTCTGGTTGTAGCTCAAAAGGTAGTGTCGGCTCTGCCGGTTAAGGGCCTGGTCACTTTATCTGAAATATCCCTACTTTTTTGGCAGGCCTCATAAGCAGCTTTGGCTGTAGCTCTGTGGGTAAATGCACCCTTTGAAGAAACGTGAGTTTGAATCCTGGGTTTACCATTCTAAATTTGAAGTGGGAATTGATTGGAGTTGAACTGGGTGCTGCAATGAGCAGGCAGGGGTTCAGGGTTGGGGAGAGTGAAAGTGTGGGTGGGGGGATTGGTTGGGGACATGGAAGTAATAGGGGCTGCTGTGCTACATGGGGTTGGGAGATGTGGATGCTGTGGGATTGACATGAGCAAGCTAAAACAGGAGCTCAGTGGTGGGAAAAATATGTGTGCATAGTGACATGGGTTTGGAGGCATCTGGTAGGGGGAGACAGTATAAGAAGGGTGTTTGGGATGAGGATAACATGGCAATGGTGGGGGTAGCAGGAAGGGCTGTGGAATGCAGACAGAAGCTGAGTGACATGGCAATAGCCTATCAGAGAGAGCATTGGCAGGCTAAAACAGGGGTAATTCACTGGTGGGGTAAATATAAATCATGGATGTGTAGCCACACAGGGTGGGAAAAGCTAACATCATAGGAGCAGAGAGTGTTGGCTTAGGGAATCTGGATGACAGATGGGTTTGGGTAGTGTAGAATTTTCTGTGACACATATAATAATTTTTAGTGTCTTTAGGCGATTTCAGATAATTAAAGAGGCGGCGAATAAAGTGTGATTTTATTGCATCACACAATGGCTTAAAAATACAAAGTAAAATGTATCATGAATAACAGCTCAGTGTAGGTAAAACAAAAATATAAAAAAAAACGTAAAGATGTGTCAACCTTAGAGTCATGCCTGTCCTCCATGTGCCTCCTGTTCAATGCTGCAAGAGTTTGAGCAAGAAGAAGGAAGTGATGTGATCTTAGGTCTAAGAGAAGGCACTGTTTCAGCTTGTCAGTATGTGAATAACCATACAAATGTGTCTTCATGCTTTGCTTGTGTCTGCATTTGTGTGAATGGACAGACATGTATATGTATGTGTTGTGTGTCGTGTGTCCTTTGCATCTCTTAGGGTGTATTTTTATGTTACATGTAGATGTCATAATTCTCATACCTCAGAACCTTGTATGGCAAACAATTCTGCTTAGTACAGCGATTTCATTGAAGGGAGGTGATACTACATATATGGTCTTTTGATTGACAAGCCTATATGTAACACTATTCTTGATCTGAAACGTGGCTTCATAAGTAAAAGATGACAATGTTGCATCAGTCTACTCATGTGACCAGTTTCTCTATTCATAGGATAGTATAACTAAAAATCTATCTTTACAACATAATATCTCAATAATGTTGTATAACCAAAAATCTAGTTATATAACACATATTAGCAAGTTATAAAACATAAATTAAAATACACACAGATACTACTAGAATATATTATTTCATACTAATTCTATTTTGGTTCACTTCTGACTCCCATGACATCCTATACCAGAGATCTTCTAACCAGCTATGCCCATCTATAGAAATGTCCTAAATACTCAGCTTCTAGCTAGTTAACTTAACTTCAAATACGCTGACATTTTTCTGGCTCAGCTAAAACCGAAGAATTCAACACTATCGCTTGTTCAAGGCCAACCACACATTTAAATATTAATTATAATTAATCATAAAAAACAAATATTTTGCAAGCTTGCCATAAATATAAGTCCTATAAGTGCCGAATTATGAATTTGGAATTACTGTTTAACAGGTAGAGAGCAGGGTAACAATGGTGTGGTCCTGAGGTGAACAGCTGTTGGAGAGGAGGGCAGTTTGGGGTGACCTTTCCCAACACCTGGAGGGGTTCATTGGTGTAGAGCAGTGGTTCTCAACCTGTGGGTTGCGACCCCTTTGGGGGTCGAATGACCTTTCACAGGGGTCCCCTAAGACCATCAGAAAACACATATTTCCGATGTGTAAAGAGCAGCTACTGAGTAGAAAGCAGCTGCTGTGTTGAAAGCAGCTACTCTGTTAAAAGCAGCTACTGTGTTGAAAGCAGCAGTATTGGAGGTAAAACGACAATCATGAATTATAATTACTGGGTAAATAATTTTATGGTTGGGGGTCACCACAACATGAGGAACTGTATTAAAGGGTCACGGCATTAGGAAGGTTGAGAACCACTGGTGTAGAGGGATGCAGTGACTCAAGGGTACTAGGAGTGAGGAGTACTTCTGGATGACAGGGAATGCAAAATGAGGGGTGCAGGGGTAACATGGGGAGAGCTGATGATGATGGCCTGTTAATGCTCCCCTGACGGAACCCATCACCCCTCCCAATGATACCGTGTACTTCTAACACTCCTGCTATCGAAGCTCCCCTCTATGGTACCCTGCACCTCTGATACTGCTACCTCCTATCTTTTAGCACCCCCTGTTCCTTGCACCTTCATATTACCCCAGAGTGCTTGCTCACCAGGTCCTCCATTTTCCTCTGCACACGCTCCCCCCATCTCCCAGTACTCCCCTGGCATTCCTCACCCTTGCCATTGAATCCTTCTCCTTAGATGTTAGGGAGTCATCCCCCAAACAACTGACACAACACTGCCCTACCGCCCCCTTGCTGCACCCATAATACAGCCCCCCCCCCTTTGTAACTTTCATTGCATTTCAATTCCAAATCCCCCAATCCCCTACCTGAATATGATAGCTGCATCCAAGTCAATTACAAGCAATTGTTGCTTTAATCATAGCATACTGCATCTTCTTCTCTACAGCATCATCATTGTTTGACATTGAAGGAATAAAACAAATGCTCAAATGTATTAGCTGCGAGTGTCAAACTAAAAAACTGAACTGAAAGTGGCATTGAAACATAGTGTAAATATATTTTAGCTACACAAAATAAGTTTATACTGAAGTGATCGACAACAAATAAACACTGGAATAAAAAGAATAAAAACTATTTATCAAGTCACACACACTACAGATTGCATTGTAAAGTTTTTTGTAAACGGGTTTCTACTTGTAAGCAGTTTTTTGTATATTTATGTTACTTTTGCCTGGTTTTTGGATGCACTCTTATTTATATTGCTTTAGTTATGAAAACATGCTCCACAGTTCCTCGCTCTAACTCAAGGGCACAATTTATCAAGCCTCATTGGAAAATAAACATCACACTTATAGGACCGTAAAACAAAAATGATAATCTCACATTTTTTGTATGTTGCAAAAAGTTAGTTTAAAAGAAAGTGCTATGAAAAAACATTTTGAAGTGCGTTTAAATCATTTTTACATAGAATTGGATTAAATACCCAAGTGTTTTCTGATATCAACGTCCTGTAGTCCCCTGTACAGCAGCACTTTCCCAGAAGGAGGGAAGGGAGGGTTAGAAAGCTGAGCCAGAAAGCAGAGTTCTGTTGCTTTGCATAGTGCTCCCTATGAAGAGTTTGAACATGATTATGTGGAGAAGGGAGAGAGGTGGTCAACGCAGAAGTCTGCTACTTTTTTTTTCATTGCCCAGTCATAGGTTGATGACTAAGCGTATTGTTTAACTGTGGTGGAGAAAACTGAGGTCACCGACTTGGCTATGCTGTCTGACAAGTGTCCAAGTGCACAAGGCTGTGACTGTGATTTATGCTATGATTGGAGAATTTCCTACACTCACTACAACAAACTGGGGATGGGGGTGTGGCCATATTAAAAGGAGCGTGGTTTTTTTATTGCCCTAAAATTTTACATTTAGCAGAACAACATCTTTCTTGTGGACGTGGTATACTTGGATTTTGCAAAAGCGTTTGACACAGCTCCCCACACACGGCTAATGTGTAAGGTAAAGTCTACAGGCTTGGAAAAATCTGTATGTAAATGGATAGAAAACTGGCTAAAAGATCGTATTCAGAGAGTAGTGGTTAATGATTCATACTCTGAATGGTCTAGGGTTGTCAGTGGTGTACCCCAAGGTTCAGTGTTGGGACCCTTACTTTTTAATATATTTATAAATGATATAGGGTCTGGGATTAAAAATCCCATTTCAGGTCTTTGCAGATGGCACCAAGCTGTGCAGTGGAATAACGTCCTTACAGGATGTCTTCAACTTACAAGCCGACCTCAATGCACTGTGTAATTGGGCAACTATGTGGCAAATGAGGTTTAATGTTGATAAATGTAAGGTGATGCACTTGGGGAATAAGAATATACATGCATCATACATACTGGGGGGGGTACAACTGGGGGAATCAATGGTGAAGAAGGATCTGGGAGTTCTGGTAGATCACAAGCTTAATAATGGCATGCAATGCCAAGCTGCGGAGAGCAAAATCCTCTCTTGTATTAAAAGAGGTATAGACTCCAGAGAGAGATATCATATTACCCCTGTACAAATCATTAGTAATGCCTCATCTGGAATATGCAGTTCAGTTTTGGGCATCATTTCGCAAAAAGAACATTGGGGAACTGGAGAAAGTACAGAGAAGGGCAACTAAACTGATAAGAGGCATGGAGGAGATCAGATATGAGGAAAAATTAGAGGAACTGAATTTATTCTCTCTTAAGAAGAGGAGATTAAGGGGGAGATACTGTATGATCAACATGTCTCCATATTCTTTTTTTCCCCATAAAGTTTTGATTGAAAAATTTCACATAACATACACATAATTTGCCAAGAGGCACTATAGAGAAAGTACATAGCCATAATAGATACCAATCCAGCCGAATACCTTTTTTAGTCTACTGTGATTTGACTATCTATTAAAGGGTTCTTTATGGTCCCACTGTAAGTAGGAACTTAATCGCCCTCTCTTAATCGCTCCTGAGATTGGCTAAAAACTATGGACTATGGGATTTGTAGAGTGCAAAGAACAGTGCACATGATCACAACTAATATTTACCACTCATTCCAAACAAACAAAAGTGAGGTGGAAAGGGAAAAGTTGAGTAGCTTATGGAGGACATTACAAAGAGGTAAAAAAACACAGTAAGAAATTGTTTAATGAAAAATAGATTACAGGACCATTAAGTAGTGAATATGAACAGTATATATATATTACTGTGCAAATGCTTAAAAAAATTGTCGGGCTTTTTTTTCATAGTGCAAAGAATAAAAAAAGCACAGATGATTAAATACCACTGAAAGAAAGCTCAATTTGTGGGAAAAAAGGACGTAAATTTCATTTGGGTGCAGCATTGCATGACCGTGCAATTGTCACTTAAAGTAACGCAGCGCCGTAACTAGAAAAATGGCCTGGTCAGAAAGGGGGGGGGGGGGGGTAAATCCTCAGGAGGGCAAGTGGTTAATGAGTGTTAATAGTTTATTTTTTTTTATCAATTAACAAAATATAAAGTGAATGAACAGAAGAGAAATCCAAATCAAAATAATATTTGAAGTCACCACCCTTTGGCTTCAAACCAGTGTCAATTCTTTTACACGCAGTGTTGTTTCTAAAGGACCTTGGTAGGTAGGTTATTCCAAACATCTTGGAGAACTATCCAGTGATCTTCTGTGGATGTAGGCTGCCTCAAATCTTTCTTGTCTCTTCATGAAACCCTAGACAGACTCCATGATGTTGAGATCAGGGCTCTGTGGGGACCAAACCATCATTTCCAGGACTCCTTGTTCTTCTTTACACTGAAATTAGTTCTTAACCACTTGTACTTATTTCCCCCTTCCTGCCCAGGCCAATTTCAGTTTTCAGCGCAGTCGCACTTTGAATGACAATTGTGCGGTTATGCAACACTGTACCCATATGAAATTTTTATCATTTTTTCACAAAAATTGAGCTTTCTTTTGCTGGTATTTAATTGCCGCTGGTTGTTTCATTTTTTGCACTATAAACAAAAAAAGAACAAAAAATTTGAAATAAAAAAGTTTTTCTTTGTTTCTATTATAAAATTTTGCAAACAGGTAATTTTTCTCCTTCAGTGATGTGTGTTGATGGGACTGCATGGATGGGCACTGATAGGCAGCACTGATGAGGTGGCACCGATAGGCAGCACTGATAGGTGGCACTGATAGGCAGCTCTGATATGTGGCACTGATAGGTGACACTGATGAGCTGGTGCTGATGAGGCGGCACTGATGATGCTGCATTGATATGCAACAATAATGGCCACTGATAAGCGGCACTGATGGGCACTGATAGGCGGCACTGACTGACGGCACTGACTGGCGGCACTGACTGACGGCACTGACTGGCGGCACTGCTGGGCAGCACTGATGGGTGGCACTGCTGGGTGGCACTGCTGGCCACAGTTGGGTGACACTACTAGGCACTGATGGGCACTGGTGGGTGGCACTACTAGGCACTGATGGGCACAGGTGGGTGGCACTGATGGGCACAGGTGGTTGGCACTACTGGGCACTTGTGGGCAGCACTGCTGGGCACAGGCGGGCGGCACTGGTGGGTGGCACTGCTGGGCACTGGTCATCAGTGCCCTGATGATTGGTGCTGATCCGTCCTCTGACAATTGCCGGTTATCGGCAAAGTGTATCCGATAACCGGCAACTTCATTTACCGGTGATCTGCTGTGTTATTGGACACGCTGATCACGTGGTAAAAGGCTGCTGTGATTGGCCTTTTCCCACATCACGTAAACCAGCTGTGTCCATAGGACACAGCAATTACGGAGATCATCCCAGAACTGGACAACTGCGCTGTAGCCGTCATTCGGCTATACCGCAGTTGGCAAGTGGTTAAAGCAGAGCTCCACCCAAATGGGGAAGTTCTGGTCTGCTCACCACGAGGAATTTGCACCATTGGGGAGTTGGAGCAGGTCCCCAATTTTGATGGGTCCCCCTTCTCACTTCTGCTGTGATCACCTAGGTGATCGGTTGCGGAAGTTGTCCTTCCCTCCCTCCCTCCCTCCCTCCCTGTAGTCTTCTGAGACACAGGACAGGTCCCAGAAGACTACAGGACCATTCACAAGGTGCATTAGGCACCTGACTGTGAAGCCGCAAGCTGTCACAGCCGGGTGCCCACACTTAAGATGCCGGAACTGGGGAGAAAGGATGGATGTTGAAACCGGCTGCGGTGAGGACACCGTGGGATCGAGGGACAGGTGAGTGGCTGTTTTTATAGTTTTTGCAGCTGCTGACTTTTTTTTTGACTAGCGCACCACTTTAATGGCATTGGCTGTATGTTTGGGATCATTGTCCTGCTGCAGAATAAATTTGTGGCCCAATCACACTCCTCCCTGATGGTATGGCATGATGGATAAATATCTGCCTGTATTTCTCAACATTGATTAGATTTATATTTTTCTGTTCACTCACTTTGCATTTTGTAAATTGACATAAGATAAACAATTAAATATATATTTGTGAAAGTATTCTTACTTTACAACATTTCTTCACAACTGCCTAAAACGTTTGCACAGCACTGTAATATATATATATATATATATATATATATATATATCTGTATATTTTTGGATAATAAGAATATCGTTTAGTGTCACTTTAATTTTATGATTCTACATTAACAGGTCAAATGTACAGTTTTTATAATATTTATGGTGGGGCTGTGCTATGACACTTTACATAGTACCATTCCCTTCCCCTGTTCTTACCAAATACACCAGGAAGTTTATTGGGATGTGGTAAGTCACTGTGTTTCTTCTGTTGCCGTTTCTTCAGCTGCTTTACTGCTCTTGTAGATCTGATCTGATTTCTATTTGCCTGGAAAAATGTAACCATAAACGGTTGTTTGGAGCGGGGTGCACGTCTTCCTAAGATGCCTGCCAGACTTGGATCAATGCTTTGCCCTGTTACATTAAAGAACACAGCGATATAATCAAAAATACTTTGAATGGATGCATTTTAATAGAAAAGACTAAGCAATGAAAAAAGCTTCAGTGGCTTAAGTATTCAGAACTGTTCTTCTCAACTTTGTCAACAGCTGATTTGTAGGGGTTCCATGCATGGAGATCACAGACATCTCACCTCATCAGAGAATGAAAGCAGTTTATAGTGTTTTTCTGAAATTGTAATACCCTTTATGTGTAGTGGCGGATTACCAAATAGGCAGAATTGGCACCGGCCTATGGGCCTCACGCCGTTTAAAGGCCCTGCAATAACAAATCAAAATAATATTGATTTGATCTTGAAAGAAAATCACAGTGAAGCTTTCTTAAACCAAAGAAAGTAAATGTTTAAAATGTTGTTTATTTATGAAAATGAACAGTTTCTTACTTTTGTTTAATAATATTATGTAAAATGTTTCATATTATTTAATAGTTATTGTTTATAATATGTTTATTTGTTTAAGAACATTTATAATTGCTAATGCTTGTTTTGTGAAAGAAAATTGGTTTATTAAAATTGTTGGTTGGAAAAATAAAAAATGTATTAGAAGATATTTTGCAAGGGGGGGGCAAGATTCCCTATGCCTAGGGACCTCCACAGAGCACTGTTTCTGTGTATGGCTTAGGTCAACTTGTTGGTTCTGTCACTGTACCATCACTGTACAAATAAGGGAAGAGAGGGCGCACCAGGCTAGTGTATTACCTGAGAAGTAATGTTTATTAGATCTGAAGTTGATATATACTCACAAAAAATTTAGTATCAATGTCAAAAGCGACCAAATCACCAGGTCAGCTCCCAAACGTGAAAAGACCCTCAAAATGTTGACGCATTTCGAGGTGCGATCCCCTCTTCCTCAGAGCTGCTGTCTCTGGTTGCAGAAAGGCAGAAAGGAGACCGAGATCTGTAGCAATTACAAAGAAAAAAAATCTTTCCCCAGCCAAGAGGATTATTTCTTCACTTTTTCTTTTTGACTGCTACAGATTGCAGTCTCCTCTCTGCCTCTCTGCAACCTGGGACAACCATGTTTATGTTGTCCCAGGTTCAAATCCAGGCTCCTTCTGGATGATTCCTCTGACTGGGATGGCTGTGTGTGCAGGGAGGGGTTCAGCGGTGCCCACTAGAAGGACTTGGCTGTATGTACTGAATGTGCCATCTTTTATTAACAATTGCTATATTGGGATGTCTCTTTGCTGGATTATCTCTTTGCCATATGGGGATGTCTCTTTGCTGGACTGGGCGGTCTCTTTACTGGATTAGGCTGTCTCTTTGCGATATGGGGATGTCTCATTGCTGGATTGGGTGGCTTTTTGCTGGATTAGGCTGTCTCTTTGCTATATGGGGATGTCTGTTTACTTAATATATGGAGATGTCTCTTTACTGGATTGGGGTGTCTCTCTGCTAAATATATGGGGATGTCTCTTTGCTGGATTAGGCTGTCTCATTGCTATACAGGGATGTCTCGTTGCTGGATTGGGTGGTCTCTTTGCTGGATTAGGCTGTCTCTTTGCTATATGGTGATGTCTCTTTACTGAGAATATATGTGGCAGTCTCTTTGCTGGACTGGTGCATTTCTTTGCTGGATTGGGCAGTCTCCTTGCTGAATACATTGGGCAGTCTCTTTGCTGAATATATGGGGATGTCTCTTTTCTGAATATATTGCGCTGTCTCTTTGCTGGATTGGGCTGTCTCTTTGCTGAATATATGGGGGTGTCCCTTTGTTGGATTGGGCTGTCTCTTTGCTGTATATATGAGAATGTCTGTTTGCTGGATTGGGCTGTCTCTTTGCTGAATATATGGGAATGATTGTTTGCTGTATTGGGCCATCTCTTTGCTAAATATATGGCGATGTATCTTTGCTGGCTTGGGCTATCTCTTTGCTGGGTACATGGGGATGTGTTAGGGATCCCGTTGCCATGCAGTGGTGCTCCGGCTCCCCTCGAGTCGCGGCGGTGCGAGTGCACAGGCACGGGAGCGTGCGGCCACGCATGCGCGGTAGCACAGAAGGTTCACGCATGCGCAGTAGCGGGCTATTTAAACCTGCCTCATATGGAAATCATTGCCTTATGGTCTAAATACGTTCCTGCACAATTTCCTGATTCTGATCCCGATTCCTGCATTTGTATACCCGCCTAAGTAAGAACTCCGCCTGCACCGACCCCGGCTATCCCTGACCATTCTCCTGCCTGTTCCTCTTGTACTTATCTGCTCGTTTGTTACCGACCCGGCCTGCCTGACTCTGCTGTATTACTCCACCTGCACCTGCACCTGGCCCGCATCCTGTCAGCTACCATATCCACCTACCACTGCACCCACGGCTCTGCATCTGGCCTACATCATCCGGATCACCGCCATACCTGTCAGCCACCGCATCCACGCACTGGTGCTCGGTCCCAAGACCCACGCCCTGACTGCCGCCACACCTGCTTGCTGCTGCACCTACGTCCCTGCACCCGCACCTGGCTTGTGTCTGGATCTTGTGGGTCCCCAGCTACCTGCTGACAGCTGCAAGACCATACACGGCACTCCTGCCCCTCCTGCTCTGTTTCCACTTTCAGGGGTTCTGAGGGGAGCTGCAAGAGGACGCCCTCCTCTCCACTTCAGGTCGCCCCAACCAGGTACGTGACAGGATGCAATCACTGATGACTTGGAATACAGGGCTGAGTGTTAAAAATAAGTGGATGCACTGAAGGTGGTATGACGGGAGCTGCAGATTCGGTGTCACAGCCCCCCTGGAAAATGTTGGTGGTCTGGGAGGGCAGGCCTTCAAAGCTGTGTAAGGGGCCCCAAAACTCATGGATGTCCTGCTAACATTCCACATGTCCCAGGAGGTACGGGACAAGTCCTACGCACTGATCTAGTACAGCGGTTCTCAACCTGGGGGTCGCGACCCTTTGGGGGGTTCGAACGACCATTTCCCGGGGTCGCCTAAGACCATCGGAAAAACTATTTCCGATGGTCTTTCAACCGAGACACCGCTGCTGTTCATGTGTGGGCGGGATGATATGCTGCCCCTGTCACCGCCTCCTCGCTGAGTGATTGGCCACCGGAAAATGTAGCTCAGGAGAGGCACACAGGCGGCAATCACGGCGAGAAGGTGAAGAGCTTGGAGAGGAGGAGACCAGTGAGGAGATTCGAAGAAGATGAGGGAGCTGCAGGAACGAGTGAAGGAGAGGCCCAAGAGAAGGAAGACAGCTGACAGGTAAGGTTTTGCTGCTGCATGCAGGCTGTAGATGGGAGGGCAGGCAGGAGTCAAAGGTAAGTATCATTGGTGTCAGTGGAAGGGATAGTGCCCCAAAATTTGTGTCAATAATACCAACGATGGGGCACTATTCCTGCCCCCACTGGACACCAACGATAGTGCACTATTCCTCCCCCCACTGACACCAACGATGGTGCACTATTCCTCCCACTGACACCAACGATGGGGCACTATTCCTACCCCCCACTGACACCAATGGTGCACTATTCCTCCCACTGACACCAACGATGGGGCTACTATTCTCCCCCCACTGACACCAACGATGGGGCAACTATACCTCCCCCATGACACCAACGATGAGACAGTATTCCTCCCCTCACTGGGCCCAACGATGGGGCACTATTCCTCCCCCCACTGACGCCAAAGATGGGGCACTATTCCTCCCCCCACTGACGCCAACGATGGGGAGACACTATTCCTCCCCCCACTGACGCCAACGATGGGGCACTTCCTCCCCACTGAACATCCAACGATGGAGGCACTGCAGGAGATGACCCAAGATGGGAACTATTCTCCCCCCCACTGACGCCAACGATGGGGGCACTATTCCTCCCCCCACTGCTCCAACGATGGGGCACTAACACTGACGCTGATGGGGCACTATTCCTCCCCCCAGCGCCAACGATGGGGCACTATTCCTCCCCCCAAACGCCAATGATGGGGCACTATTCCTCCCCCCATGACGCCAACGATGGGGCACTATTCCCTCCCCCCCACTGACGCCAACGATGGGGCACTATTCCTCCCCCCACTGACGCCAACAATGGGGCACTATTCCTCCCCCACTGACGCCAACGATGGGCACTATTCCTCCCCCCACTGACGCCAACGATGGGGCACTATTCCTCCCCGCACTGACGCCAACGGATGGGGCACTATTCCTCCCCCCACTAACGCAACGATGGGGCATATTCAACGCCAAATGGGGCACTATTCCTCCCCCACTGACGCCAACGTGGGCACTATTCCTCCCCCACTGACGCCAACGTGGGGATGTTTAGACGCCACCATGGGGCAAACCCACTGCCAACGTGGGGCACTATTCCTCCCCAACTGATGGGACACATTCCAGAGCTGTGCGCTAGTCCTCCCACTGCAAAAATTATTATGAAGTAGCAACGAAAATAATGTTATGGTTGGGGGTCACCACAACATGAGGAACTGTATTAAGGAGTCGCGGCATTAGAAAGGTTGAGAACACTGGTCTAGTACATGTGCAGTGGGGAGACATCAGGAAGTGAGAGCTGAAAACAACGCTGAACTCCTGAGCTGAAAAGTATAAGCTCATTCACTTATGCAGTTAATTGCCTTTTTCTCACAGAAAAAAGTAGGTAACTGCAATGACATACAAAAAAAAGTTTTCTGTGTGTCATGTTTAGACCAGAACATGGTGTTTAACTGCATTCCAGAGCTGTGTGATATTTTGCAACATGTTTGCATACTATTGCACTGCTCTGGATGGCTGTACAGTGACATGGATGAAATGTCACTTTGTGCACTTCAAATAACGTTCACTCCAAAAAAAAGGAGCTGTGTGATGCAATAAAATGTGCATCACACCATGTTTGCATGGTAACATTTGCCTCTGCAAGGCCTGGATTTACCCTGCTGGGGGAATTATTTCCCCTAATGAGGATGTTGCTGTTGGTTACTCTCTCTATAACAGATCTAGACATACAAAATTGGGGTACATTTTAGTTTTTGCTTTTAAAGAAGATCTCTAGCCACTTAGTCCTGCTAACACCTTCCCTGAATCCTCCCCTGCATCTATTTTTTTTCTAAATCCCTACTTCACTCTAGCTGCCTTTTTGCCATTCTGGTGATGTTTTTCCACTTCATGAATTCTTGTCTGGAAGCAGTCCTTGCTGCAGCACTGAAGGGCATACATGTAATGATGTGTAAGCAGCATTCAGTGTAGTAGTACTGTGAGCCCAAGCAGGAGCCATAATGCACCCCAAGGGTATGTGTTTATGACAGTGTAGGCTCAAGGAGCTAAAGGACCCTGGCTACCATTCAATCTGAAAGTGGGTGTCAGTAAGCAACATAGGGCAGCAATATAGGGCAGCAATATAGGGTGGAGAAGGTGAGTGGTGGAAAAAAAAAAAAGGAAGGGGGCGGGAAGATTTAATAAAAAATGGGGTTCTAATTTCAAGTGAGATACAGGCATTACAGTAACATTTTTTTAATCAATCATCTCTAGATTGTTTATATATATCTTTACTGTTAATGCCAATGTCGTTTTACAGGAAAAAATATTTTTGCGGTTGTATGGTTCGTGGATTGCCTTCCAGCTGTGCACGCCTACATTACATCTGGTCTCTGTTGAGACACACTAAGAAAGTGATAAATCTTTAAAAGTATGGCAAATGCAAAAATGTACAAAACAAAATAAATTGAGCCTGCATGATCGGTGCCCACATGAGCATGTTCTATGACAGCGTACATATCACAAGCCAAATAGCCATTGGTGTGGTTGTGTCTCACCCTCATCATTCTCCACATAAAGACGTAGTCCTGCATTATACTTGGCATTAAGCAACCAGTGATTACTAGCAGCTGTGACATCGAAAACCAACCAGCCTTCATCCCCGGCCTGTATGCTCTCATGGTCCAGTAAAGTTAATTCAGGCTGTCTAGAGAAGAGAGTGATAGACTTAAAATGATGGATATTATGGATCACTCTTCATTAAATGAAACAAACAAAGCCAATCTTAACCCCTTCACACCTAAGGGTAAAACAAATCTTAATGCCTTACAACATTTACAACATTGAAATGTGCAAGGTACATACATATCATCCCAACTACTTTGTACATCCAGGTGAATTACAGTGAAGGAAATAAGTATTCGATCCCCTGCTGATTTTGAATGTTTGCCCACTCACAAAGAAATGATCAGTCTAAAAATGGAATGGTAGGTGTATGTAACCCTGAGAGACAGAATAGCAACAAAAAATTCAAAAGAAATGCATGTCTAACAAATTATGCACTGATTTGCATGTTCATGAGGGAAATAAGTATTTGATCCCCTATCATTCAGCAGGGTTTCTGGCTACCAGGTGTCTTTTATACAGGTAACAAGCTGAGATTAGAAGCAGTCTCTTAAAGGGAGTGCTGCTAATCTCATTTTGTTACCTGTACAAAATACACCTGTCCACAGGAGCAATCAAACAATCAGATTCCAAACTCTCTACCATGGCAAAGACCAAAGAGCTGTCCAAGGATGTCAGGGACAAGACTGTAGACCTACACAAGGCTGGACTGGGCTACCAAACTATCACCAAGGAAATTGATGAGGTGACAACAGTTGGTGCAATCATTCGCAAATGGAAGAAACACAAAACAACTGTCAGTCTCCCTAGGTCTGGTGCACCATGCAAGATCTCTCCTCGTGAAGTGTCAATGATCATGAGAACAGTGAGGAATCATCCCAGAACTACACGTGAAGATCTTGTCAATGATCTCCAGGCCGCTGGGACCACAGTCACCAAGAAAACAATTGGTAACACGCTACCCGACAAGGACTGAAATCCTGCAGTGCCCGCAAGGTCCCTCTGCTCAAGAAGGCACATGTCCAGGCCAGTCTGAAGTTTGCCACTGAACATCTGAATAATGCAGAGGAGGACTGGTTGAAAGTGTTGTGGTCAGATGAGACCAAATCGAGCTCTTTGGCATCAATTCAACTCACCGTGTTTGGAGGAGGAATGCTACCTATGACCCCAAGAACACCATCCCAACTGTCAAACATCGTGGTGGAAACATTCTGCTTTGGGGGTGTATTTCTGCTAACGGGAGAGGATAACTGCACCTCATTAAAGGGATGATGGACGGGGCAATGTACTGTCAAATCTTGGGTGAGAACCTTCTTCTTCCTCAACCAGAGCATTGAAAATGGGTCGTGGATGGGTGTTCCAGCATGACAATGACCCAAAACACACGGCCAAGGCAATAAAGGAGTGGCTCAAGAAGAAGCAACATTAAGGTCCTGGAGTGGTCTAGCCAGTCTCCAGACCTTAATCTGATTGAAAATCTGTGGAGGGAGCTAAAAGTTCGAGTTGCCAAATGTCAGTCACCAAACCTTAATGACTTAGAGAGGATCTGCCAAGAGGAGTAGGGCCAAAATCCCTCCTGATATGTGTGCAAACCTGGTGGCCAACTACAGAAAACGTCTGACCTCTGTGATTGCCAACAAGGGATTTGCCACCAAGTACTAAGTCATGTTTTGTTACTGTTGTTACTTATTTCCCTCATGAACATGCAAATCAGTGCATAATTTGTTAGACATGCATTTCTTTTGAATTTTGTGTTGCTATTCTGTCTCTCAGTGTTACAATACACCTACCATTTGATTTTAGAGACTGATCATTTCTTTGTGAGTGGGCAAATATTCAAAATCAGCAGGGGATCAAATATTTACAGTATTTCCTTCACTGTATACCTTGTTTTTTTCAGGACAAATTGGGCTTTCATTTGGTGGTAAATGGTAATGGATATCTCCTGATTTTTTTTATTATCAAAGGAAAACTGGCCCAAAATAGTACAAAAAATATAATTTTTTTAAATTTAGCTGTGTGTTTCTTGTTACTTCCATAACCTACCACCAAAGAACAACCCAAAATACATTTTCCAGCTCTTGATGATCGCAGCGATAACATATATGTGTATGTTATTAGTTATTTGTACCCATAGTACAGCCCAGAAACAATAGTGTGCATTTTGATTTTTGGGGGGGGGGGGGTTTAACCTAAAACACACACACTGACACTAGCTGACACTGATACCAATTTAAAAAAAAAATCCTGACCTTTGACCCTGACCTTTTGACCCTTAACCCAAACACTTACCCTGGCACTGAACTACATCAAACCTTGATCTAGGTATTTTTTCTTTATTTTATTTTTTTTTGAATATTTTTTATTTATCTTTTTTTTTCTTTTTAACAAACATTTTTTTTCTCTATGCCAGGAGTCAGAGAGATACAATGTATCTCTCTCCTCATTCATAGAGAAAAAAAACAAACAAGGGGTCAGATATACAGTGACTGATCACTGTGATAGACAATCAGAGGCTATCACAGTGATCATGTGACTTGGAATCGGGAGTCCCGGGTCCCGATCATTAGAACGGGACCCGGGGCTCTCAGTGACACCCCGGTCTTTGTGCTGACAGGTACGCAAATATGCGGCCCCAAGGAAAAAAGCCCAGTTCTGTGAGGCCGCATATTTGTGTGACGTCGGCATGAAGGGGTTAGAGTTCAGGTACAACCAAACATTTTTTTTGGAGCTTTGAATAGAGTAGGAGGGATTGGAACACCTGTCAGGTTTTCTAATATTGTTCACATCCCTATTCTCCCTCTCTATTTGTCCCGGTGATCTGCTCCAAAGCTTTACAGTTGTCACCAGAACAAAAGGTGCAGGTAAATCTTTCAACAGGGACACCTGTTCCAGTGGCAGCTGTCTGAAAGGAGACTTTCCCTCATGTTGCAGAGATTTTTTTTCTCCCTGTTGCCTCTGGGACTGGAAGTGAAGGAAAATATCCACAACAGGGCCCATAATAAACTGACAAGGCTTTTAGCCCTTTTCTGCTCTACCCAAAATAAAAAGTTTTTTAGACTATATACCTATCAGCCATATGTTATGACTACCCACCTTATAATGAGTAGGTCCCCTTTTGCAGCCTAAACCGCCCTGTCCCGTTAAGGCACAGATGTCACTAGACCTATGATGGTATGCTGTGCTATCTGGCACCAACTCCTTAGTGGCCAATCCTTTAGGCCCTGTAAGTTGTGAGGTGGGGCCTCCATGGACCAAACTTGTTTTTCCTGCACATCCCACAGATGCTCAATTGGATTGATATCTGAAGATTCTGGAGGCCAAACAACATCTCAGACTAATTGTTGGGTTCCTCAAACCATTCTTGAACCATTTTTGCAAGTGGCAGGGTGCATTATCCTGCTGAAAGAGGCCACTGTTATCAGAGAATACCATTTTCATGAAAGGGTGTAATTAGTCACCAACAATATGTAGGCAGGTGGTACATGTCAATTACCATCCACATGAATGGCAGAACCCAATGTTTCCCAGCAGAACATTGCCCAAAGCATCACACTGCCTCTTGTCTTCTTCCCACACTGCATCGTGTTGCCATCTCTTCCCCAAGTAAGTGACACACATGCAGCTGGCCATCCATATGAAGTAAAATAAAATGTGATTCACTAGAACAGCCAACCTTCTTCTGTTGGCCAGTTCTGATGCTCTTGTGTAGGTGCTTTTGGCTGTGGTTACACGGGATCAGCATGGGCACCCTGACTGGCCTGTGGTCATGCAGCCTCATATACAACAGACTGTGATGCCCATTTTTTTTTTGTGCTTTCAACACATCAACTCCAGGGACAACATTTTTTACTGCCCCTAAACGCCCTGTTGAACACAGGTATCATGCAACCTCACTTGTTCCAAACAGTTTCTAAATTGACACATTTCTAAGAGGACACTATCACAGTTAAGATCACTCATTTATAAATTGCATACCGATTTGAATGGTCTCGGTGAATCTCATAAACACTGATGTGAAGTGTTCTGTTGAAATGCCTTGAGAAGCTACGAGTCTTGAAAAGGCGAAACTCAGCCGCAGTCACAGTTTCTCCAGTAGGAACCTGTGTCATGTCAAACTTGAACTCTTTCCAGTATGGCTTCTGATGGAAGATATCTCTATCGTGTTCAACTGTAACAATAAAAAGTATATAGTATATGAATGTATAAATCAATCAGGATCAAATCTGTTCCCCAACTGCTGTCAATTTTTCTAATAGGTAGAGGCACAGCGGCATAAATCAGAAGCCTCTGCAAAAGACAACAATAATTCTCTTACCAGTGAGGTGGAGCAATGATCCTCAACTGTGGTCTTCAAGTACCCCTGTAGGACAAGTGTGTAGATTTCGTTTTGAGGAAACAGCTATGGTCATTTTTGGTCCAATCACACAATATAAAAGAAATCTCGAAAGCATTGCTTATTGGTTGTAAAGAATCTCTGCCACCTTGCACATTCGGTATCACAAAATACCAGGTCACTGATCTTAGTTCCCTAGCTTGAGCTCTTCTCACTCATCCTGCTATATTTGTAAAAGAATATATACAAGAAATCTGAAAGGAAGAGTAAGGACTCATTCACACATGTGCCTATTATTGTTGCCCTTATGAAACGTGATCTGTAGCAGACCACTTTTCAGAGAGGACATTTGACAGGCAATGAGAAGAGGATATGTCACCTCTTTTATTCCCCAAAATGCCAATCCACTGCACGGTCCATTCACTTGAATGGGTCATGTTTCGGCAGCAGTACCACCCACTGAATGATTTTGCTGCAGGATGTGTACAGCCCTGAATGGCTGCATTTCTGTGTTTTTTCCAGTGGGCGGTCAAAGGGAGGTAAAACCATGCCGTCTGCTTTTATGGCCTCTGGCCGCCAATATGAAGGAGACATCAGTCTCCCTTATAATGGCTTAAAGTGTTACTAAACCGACAACAGTAACATCAGTCTGTATATGCAGTAAAGCATGCTTGTTATACTGTTATACTCACTGTGGAACCTAAGGGGTTAATCCTCCACATTGTGTAAAAAGGCTGTTTGATCCAGACTTCTCTGATCCTCCCCTTCTTCTTTTGTCCCCAATCTATCTGCCATAGTACAGAACAGTCTGCACATGCTCAGTTTGGTGTGTATTGCTAGAGAGTTTTATTTTTATTTTTTTGGGAAGGTACATGTGATCGGCACAGGGCCAATCATCGCTGTCCAGACAGAGGGTCAGCGGTCTTGCAACCTCATAGGATAGTCAGAGGAGAATGGAAATTCCTCCTACAAAATTAGCCAGTGCTCGGCCGGACACTGATAGAAGTCACAAGACTGCTGATGAGAAAAGGTATTTAGCAGTTTATATTTACTAAAATAATGGTATTTCCATGTTCTTTTGACTGTGGAAGACCGGATATATATTCATGACCAAAAATATTGGCACCCCCTGCATTTCTCACTTCACTCTGAAAATTGTTGCAATTACAAATGTTTAGGCATTCTCATGTTTATTTCTTTTGTTTGTATTGGTATTATAGTGGATGAGTTTAACCACTTGTCCTCCTGAGGATTTAGCCCCCTTCCTGACCAGGCCATTTTTTGTGATATGGCGCTGCGTTATTTTAACCGACAATTGCGCAGTCATGCAACACTGCACCCAAATGAAATTTACGTCCTTTTTTTCCCATAGAGCTTTTTTTGGTGGTATTTGATCACCTCTGTGTTTTTTATTTTTTGCACTATAAACAAAAAAAGACCAAAAATATTTTTAAAAAAAACCAATATTTTTTACTTTTTGCTATTAAACATGTCCAGCAACAAAAAAATTTAAAAAAATCGAATTTTGTAATAAATTTAGGCCAAAATGTATTCTGCTATGTCTTTGCTAAAAAAAATCCCAATATGTGTAAATTAATTGGTTTACGTGAAACAAATGGCGGTATATATACTGGAATTTTTTTTTACTAGTAATGGTGGCGATCAGCGACTTATAGTGGGACTGTGGCGGGAATTCTGACACTGGGGGGAACGGACTTCCTGCCCAGTGACACCAATACAGTGATCAATGCTAATAAAAAGCACTGACACTATACTAAAGGCACTGGGCAGGAAGGGGTTAACATGTGGAGCGATCAAAGGGTTAACTGTGTACCAGGGGCGTCCCTAGGGTTTTGGTGTTACCCAGGTGCAGGTGTCACCATCCTGCAGGGATTTTCGGCTTGAAACCTATATGGGGTTAACCGATCTCTCCACGAGCTCCACAAAAAGGTAAGTTTTAAAGCAAGCCAATGATCCCCACAAGATGGATCGGATCTGCGGATTGGGAAGCATAATGGATCGAACTCTGATCCATTATGCTCAATCTGCAGATCCGATCCATCCTGTGGGGATCGTCAGCTTGCTTTAAAACTTACCTTTTCGTGGAGCGGGTCCGGTGTCACCCCGGTGTGGCGCACACCCCCCCCCCGCACCTGCCAAGGGACGCCCCTGCTGTGTGCTGTTTTAGTGTGTGCTGTGTGAGTGTGCTTCACTGTAAGCACACTGCTTTGTATGAGTCTGCTATGTAGAGCCATACAAAGCAGTGTGCAGGAGCTGACAGGGGAGAGATCTGTGTTGTTTGTACACAGGTCTCTCCCACGCCAGAGATACTCGGTGATCGTCGGGTGCTGGTGGGGAATCACCGGCCGGGATCTGGTGATTGACAGCCAAGGCCACAAAAGGTGGCGCGAGTCGGGCCCCCCGTATATATACGTGATTTTGTGCACACATGCCACCCTGTAGCAGTATTTCCCTTTTTGGGGGTTTTGCGTGGAATGTGTCAGATTTGGATTTTTGTTTCTCCACTTAGTTGTGTCATACCAATACAAATAAAATAAATAAACATGAGAATGCCTAAACATTTGTATTGTAGCAATTTTCTGGGCAAAGTGGTGCACTGACAGTAATGCAGGAGAGCCAATATTTTTGGCCATGACTGTGGTGAATGCAGGTTCATGGGTTTAGTAACACTTTAAGCAGGAATGCAGATCTGGGAATGTGTGTAATCAGGGGCGGATTGACAACTCATGGGGCCCCTGGGCAATAGGGGATCATGGGGCCCCTGTGTCCTTGCCCAAACTCAAAAAAGCCTATGAAAAAGGTACCAGGGGCATCTCATGGGGCCCCCTACTGACCCCGGGCCCTCAGGCAGTGCCCGAGTTTCCATATGGTCAGTCCGCCCCTGTGTGTAATCATATTAGTCTCCACATTTCAATGAAATTTGAATATTCCATTCAACATGGCAGAATAGACTTCTAAACTATTGTTTAAAATGGCCAAGCAATCTAGCTGCTTTATCATTTTAGAAACCCTAATATGTTTGCACTGAAAATGTGTACTCTTTATGATGTCTCCATTAAGAAGTTTGCATTTTTGCTCCTATATGTGGCCATTTTTCATTTTAGCACAGATGAACAAGTCTTAACCAATAACAAAATCTCAGTTCACTCAAGATCCTGGGAAACCTGAGGATCTCAAATCTCACGAGTATTAAAGTGATTATAAAGGTTGTAATTTTTTTTTTAAATAACAAACATGTTATAATTACATGTTCTGTACAATGGTTTTGGAAACAGCAGCCCCAATCCTCTTCTTTTTGGGTCCCCTGTCTGCACCCTGGCAACTGCCCCCAATAGCAAGCCTCTTGTTCTGGGGCCACTCAAGCAGGCTTGCTCCTCAAAGCACCCTGCCCCCCTGCTCTCTCCTCATTGGCTAAATGGCTGTTATTGACAGCAGCAGGTGCTAATGGCTTCTGCTGCTGTGTGAGCCAAAGAGGAGTGAGGGACCTGGGAGAGCCGCAGCTCTCATACACATCTCTGGATCGAGATGGGGATCAGGTAAGTAAAAAGGGGAGCTGAACTCAGAAGGTTTTTTTACCTTAAAGCATAGAATGTATTAATGCAAAAAAACTTCTCCCTTTAGAGCCACTTTAACTCCTGCTCAGAGTAGTAGTGAATTCCCATGAGATTTTAGATTCTCTTTTTTTCCCTGGATCCTGTAAAAAAATGTAATGCTTTAAAACAATAATTGCAGCACCTCTACATGAGGCTCCCTCTATAACTGATCAGAATAATATTAGATTCAACATATCCAGTGTGCAAGAATTAACAATATAGGTTTAACTTCACCAAACATTCACACATTATTATTATTATTATTATTATTATACAGTATTTATAAAGCGCCAATAGTTCGCTCAGCGCTGTACATTACAAAGGGGGACAGAACATGTGACAGAACAATAACAATACAATGCAAAACATGAGGGGATTGAGGGCCCTGCTCTTTCGAGCTTACAATCTAGGAGGGACACACATCCAAGTGTCATAAGTTTGTGCAATCAATGAATTCAAGCCTGTGATATCTTCTTCATTCCAGTTAATAATTTCTGTGCTGTGCTCCCCATAAAATACTTCTGTCTTCACCAAGATTTTCAAATCAGACAGAAATTCATCATTTATACAGTATCACCCCCAGTTAGCCCCAGCAAGGGTCTCTCCTTAACAATTACATTCCCACTACAGATAGGTAACAGCTTTTCAGACATGTATCACGCCGGTTCTCCACTCTTGCTTAAGCACACCACACACGTTACAATCTGATTGTGCAATCTCTATTGTCAACAATGTAGTGTAAGGGGCTTGTCTGACTGGATAAAAATTGACAGGATATTTTAGGTGGGTCCTCACATTACGTAGTTTTGGTAAAAAATATAATTGATTGTGCAAAAAAGTGTGCAGCCAAATTGTAATGTGTACGGTGAGCTTTATCCCATAGCTTATACACTTCAATAAAAGATACAAAATACAGAGAAAACAAGTGCAATTATCCAACCTACATTTGCAATGTGCAGTTTTCAGCTGCTGCCTTTTGAGAAAATCTGCTTGTATGGAGTGGTGCTCTGCTCCAACACAGCTCATAGGAAGCAGAGGCAGGCAAGAAATATAACAGAACATTCTTTGTATTGGAGACGTGAGCTTGTGTAGTGAATTTAGGGGCAGGAAACACGAACAGGATTTAGCCCAGCTTAACCTCCAAACTGAGGTGTGAGCTTTT